ATAGCGTCAGCCCAGGCATGGAGTAGGGAAGATACACACATGTGTGGGGAATCCTCAGCAGTCTGGGTTGAATATGATGAAAAGAGTGGAAGGAGGGATGAAAGGTATGCTGTGGTCCAAGCATCAAAGTCCTGGAGGGTCATGTCAAGAATCTGACATTTTCATTTGAAGGCAAGTGGGAGCCCATGCTTGTCTTTTTTTAAAGAGATGAATAATGATCACAATGCTAATTCATATAAAATGTGTAATACATTTCTGATAATAATAGTTATGTTTTGAGATTCCCAAGTATTCCTGATAACTTTGGCATACATTTTATCATATAATCCTAACAATATTCATTCAACAAATATTACTGAGCACCTCTACCAGATCATATAGTATTATCCCATTTGACACAAGAAGAAGCTGGAATTCAGAACGTTTACCCGAGCTTGCAGGACCACCCAGCCAGTATGTGGAAGAGCTATTATTAGAATCCAAGTCAGCTCGAGGGCGAAGTTCAAGCACATTCCAGGATACCATGTCATCTCTTTCCATTTACACATTTTCAATGGAGTCTTATGAAACTCCTGTTTCTATCTTGGGCTAAACTCTGCATAAGAAAGATGAAATCTTTGGGATAAGGATATTTTAGTTCTTCCCTTACTTCTTAGGAAAGAAAGATGTTTCCCTCAGCTCATTAAGTGTGACACCATCCAAGGGAAATTGAGCCATACCTCACCTGGTTTTAGTCTAGTGTCAGGGTGAAGGGCTCTGATTTCCTGCATGTGACCACCAAGCTTGATGCAGAGAGTTAAGATACCTTTCCCAAAAGGGAGGCACTGGGGAAGTCCCTGTTCATCTCCCTGGTGTACAGCACTCTCCAGTTGGTTATGTTTGCTTTTTGGCCTTAAATCAATAACTTGAACTCTCACTGACATCCCGGCCATTGTAGTCAACTATTAAGGGGGCCAGGGCATGGTTCTAACAGCTGAGAGGAAATTGTGATCTGAGATGGTATGAATGTTGACTAAGGCTGAGCCTTGGTCTCTATCCTGCCCTCGCAGGGTCCCCTTTTTAATACTGAGGAGAAGAATCCTGTGCCTGCCACAAAAGCTTCTTTCCCTGTTTCAGATCTCAGAAGAGCTTGAGCAATGTTTTCTCTTGTTCTCCCAGAGCTAAGGGTGGGGAAATTAGAAACTTACCTGGGGACCGCACACAGCTCACATCCAGTGTGGTTTAATGTCCCTCAGTAGGAAACAGTTTACAGAGCATGGGCCCACAATGCCTTCCAGATGCTAAGCATTCATAGTTTAAGGAGCGCTTTTCCACCTATAACCTCCTTTGATGCTCACCATCCTTGGCCAGCAGTGTTTTTTACCATTATCTTCTTTCACCTGGACTACTGGGATAGACTTCAAACTTTCTGTCACTCTCTCCCTCCCTGACACTGCTTCCCAAATTCTACTTCTAGAGCACTATTGTGATCTGCTAGAATATCTCGCCTAGCCCCCCAACTACAGGATGAAATCTGGTCTTCATTGTGACTGGAAACACCCTTCCGGTCTCAGGTCTCAAGAGTGCCCATCTAGCTTCATTTCTCTCTCCCTCTGCCCCAGAGCCATGGTCACATGCAACATCTCTGTGGTCTCTAAATGGTACACTTTCATCCTTTGTGGCCGTGGTAGCATAGAGGATAATAGTAGACACCCTGGACTGTCTGAGTTGACCTCCTGTCACCACCACCTTGTAGATATATAAACCTCAGGTAAGTTACTCAAACCCCCCATGCCTAATCTGTAAAATGGGACCACTGTAGGCCTTCTTTCACCATGAAGATCTCGCTCCAGATCCCACCTCTTCAAAGTGGCCTTTCTGAGCACGTTGGCTAAATGAGCCCCTTGCCATTCAGTTTCTTTCTGTGACATCACTTGCTTATTTTCTTCATGGCATGGGTTAAAATCTGGAATTACATGTTTATTTGCTGACTCCTTCTACCTGGGTGGAAATTCTGCTCGGGTGGGGACTTGCCTGCTTGTGGTTCTTCAGACAGAACCTGTCACAGAGAAGGTGCTCAAAAGACAGGTCTTAAATCAATGAATAAATAAAAAGTAGGTCTTTTGAGAATGAAGCTGTTTCACCTCACGAGAATCATTCAGGAATGACAAATCACAGAATAACAGAACAAGAGGCTTTGTGCATGTCAGAGAAAGAGGGCGGAAAATTGTCAAGGTATCATGATGTACCCAACTTTGCCTCCTCAAACATAATCCAGTCCCACAGTGTAAAATAAGTTAACTTATATAAAGCTTTCCCAAACATTCTTTGAAATATTAAAACTCTTAAGAAATTAAGAAATTGCAGTTAAAGAAGTGAAATAATATGAAATGCCTTGACAGATGAATAGGTAATCACACAGTTAAAAAGATCTGGATTTAATAGAGAACCAGAGCAATGTGGTTCCTTGCTGTCAGGGACCAAGAGAAAATCAGAGTCTCCTTGATGGAAATGCCTAAAATTAATATTGCATTTTGTTATCTCCTGTATATAATCTAACAATAAACAATATTTGCCTAGCACTTTACAGTTTATAAATATCTCTGTTTACATAGTTTATCTCATTTGATATGACAGTTTAATAATACTGTAGCCAGTAGAAAATACACACCACCTAGTTTCAAGAAACCAGTTCTATCAGTAAAAAGCCGAGATCTTGGCAAATCACTTTTCTTCTCGTTTACCTTTTTGGTAAAATGAAGGAGTTAGCCTAGATTACCTTGAATCCCATCTAGCTTATCTATTGGCACTATTTGTATTTAACTTATGACAAGTCACGCTTCTCTTTGACCCAGGTTCAAGGTCTTCATTCATGTTCCTAAAATCAAATTATTTGAATGATAACTGTCTTGGGTGCCTAGGTAAATAAAGAAGGCCCTGGTCTTTCTCTTTTAGAGAGAAGAGAATGCCAATTCTGACTAGTCCATCTCCCTACCTTCCTTCGTCTGATGGTCTCTGCCATTTTGCATTGCACTGTGTCTCCTCCAACACAACCAAGGACAACTGTCCACTTCTCTCTCTCTCTCTCTCTCTCTCTCTCTCTCACACACACACACACACACACACACACACACAAAATGTATCTGTTCCATGTTAAACCTTAAGGAAAAGTTGTCTGTAGTTAATCTAATTTTTTTCCTATCTTCCTTGGAGAAAGCCAGAGAAAAATTCTCTCTAATTTAAATACATCTAGAAATTATGGCCATGACATCATTTTCTTTTTCCTCTGCCATCTCCCTGCTTTGAGAGCCATGGACTGGGGTAATGGGGTGGGCAGTGTGGGATGTCTAGGGTCATCTGTATGGTAGACACATTGCTCCTTATCACTTCCCTTTCTATATTCTAGGGTACCTTTGCATTTCCCTGGAACCCATCTATTTTTGTCTTTTCCATCTAAATCATTTGATGCCCCTGCTTCTCATACGTAAAGTATAGTCACCAGGAGCCTATCTACTTAAAAAAGGAGAGCTGTTTGCATCTGACATAGCAATTCATTCTCTCCTTCCATGCATAGCTTTCCTGCATGGGCAAGACCCCTCTGTCACTCTGGTGTGGGCACTAGAGCCACGACTACAAGAAGGAAACGCCTGCATGGTTCTTTGAGGCATTCAGTCTGTCATGCTGTGTACAAAAGATACTAACCAGGTGCTCAGAACCACCTGTAGGGTCAAATGATCTTATGTTCACTTTGAAGCCTGGTAATACATATGCAAATTGCCTATTTTCTTCTTTTTCTCCTCTTCCTCCTCCCCTTCCTACCTCCTCCTCCTACCCCACCTCCTCCTCATTTTTTTTTTTTTTTTAATTTGATAGAGATCACAAGTAGTCAGAGAAGCAGGCAGGAGAGAGAGGAGGAAGCAGGTTCCCTGCTAAGCAGAGAGCCCGATGTGGGGCTCCATCCCAGGACCCTGGGATCACGACCTGAGCCTAAGGCAGAGGCTTTAACCCACTGAGCCACTCAGGCGCCCCCTCCTCCTCCTTTTTGTGTCTGTCTCCGACTCTCTTCAATATTGTCATGTACCAGTTTGAAGACCTGAATCCGTAAGACATAATAAGATAATAAGTCCATTTGCGGATAAGAAAGTGTCTTTGTATTTGTTCATTTACTCCTTCCTCTGGTTCTCCATGGCTGTGTTGCAGCTTTTTGGCAGGAGGCATGTACGTGTGAGAGAGACCATCAGTGCTAGGCTGAATCCTGTTCTTAGTAAGATTTCCAGAAAAGTATTCCACAGTCGGGCTGATTACAGATGTGGCTAATCCACTGTCCCTAGGCTAATTTTCTGTGCCGCCAGGCATGTAACCTTCTGCTCTCCAGCCATGCCTCTCCGCGCCCCTGCGAGAATGTGACAACCCAAAAGGCAACTTCTACAAATGGAGACCTGGAAACCGCGGTCCTGCCAAATCCCCTCTGGAAATAGTGAGGATGAGATCTTGGACCACGTGGGATATGCTATTTCTAATGCAAAAAAGGAAGCGCATTGAGATTCAGTCCCAAAATGAGCCCACGAACTCCCGCGGGCGCCTTTCCTCGGGAGGGCAACCTGCCTCGACACTGTTTTTACAAGAAGAACGAATAAAGCGATGTTTCTTAACATTTGAAACTCTCTCTCCCCTCCCCCATGCCTTTTCCAGAAATTCAAAACCCCAGACCGACATCGGCAGAGACAGGGAGCACATTTTTCTTTTTTGTTCGCCCGCTTCGCAAGAGGTTGGTCTCAGGCTGTTCACTTTGCTGGGTGATGCGTCAGTGCCTCCCCGCGTAACTCTCGCCGCCCCGGCGCAGGTTGGAGTGGGGGGCGGGGGTGCCGCTGCGGGGCGGTGGTTTCAGAGCTGCCGTCTGATTGGCCAGGAGGCTGCGGGGCGGTGGTTTCAGGGCTGCCGTCTGATTGGCTGAGCGGCCGCCTCTGGGCTATAAAAGGGACCCCAGCTGGCTCCTGAGCAGCTCCGAGGAGTCTGACAGCATCTTTTCCAGGGAAAGTCCAAGTGCGCTCAAAACCCAAGCCATAGCTCTTCTTGCCGCATTTCCTCCCCAGCTTGCGAATCCCACACCGAACAAGATGTGCAAAGGACTTGCAGGTCTGCCGGCTTCTTGCCTGAGGAGGTAAGATTATTTTCAGCCACTCACCACGTTAAACTTTCCGATAGACTTTCTTAGTTACTTACCTATATTCCTTACTGACCTAGTTCTTTGGAATTAGAAACAGTGTGGTCTGGGGGTGAGGGGGCTCAACTTGCTAGCTTTCCTCCAAGATCAGCTCAAAATTGTCACTGGAGAAGTGTGCCCCTCTGAATGTTGGCACTTATGTGTTGTTTTGTATGACCTCGGTTTTGAGGGCTGTTCTGATCTTCTCACCGAGCTAGTTCGAATGAAGAATTGATACGAGTTTTCGGACCAAATGCAGTGGTCTGTGATGGCATCACTGGGGTGTGTGGAATCGTGTCTCTGAGTTTTCCGATGGGGTTCTTTAGGGGAAGATAGCCCAAATGAGGTTAGACTACATCACAGACACTGTGTTTTCTGTGTGGTGCTGCAGTATCTTCTACTGTTTATGTCCTTATAAGCAAGTGTGGCAATACAGTATGAGTTCCAATATTAGACCCTCCCTTTTCTTATTGCCCTTTCCCCCAGTTCCTGAAATGCCTTATGTGAGTGGTGGTTGAGAAGTATTGATCCTAACAATTCAGTTAAGCGTTCTGTAGACGATCTCATTCTGCAGACATTGTTTTGTTGATGTATTGTCTCTTGACTTAAAAAAAGGTAAAGCTACTCCCTAGCTCCTCATATGCCTTTGGCTTAAAAAAAAAAAAAAAAAGTATAAATAAATGTTTTCAGAGACTGTTTACATATTAGCCAGCTGAAGAAAAATACAAAACTAGTGCATATGATATTATTTATTCTTACAGTTAAAGGCAGAAAGTCAGTCTATATGTGTACTACACCCTTGCTTCCCTGCAAATAAAAATTACCTTAAATCTCACTGTAGAAATATCCCAGAAAGCAAGTCTCCTGTGCACTTCTTAGAAGTATACCTTTCAAATATTCTGTCATTCAGGAGTGTGAAACAATATTCTTTATTAAATGTGCTTTCTTGGCTGCTTTAAAATGAAGCAGGAGGGTCTGGCTGGGAATATGTATGGAGTGAGTTCCACTGACTGCTACCATTACTATCCTGAGATGAAGGGAGCAAATTACTCCAAGCTTCAGTTAACTCCTATGTAAAATCAACCACACAAAATACAGGAGTGTCAGGAAAGAGTTATGCCCTGGTAAGTATTTAGGGAGACAAATGAAAGGTTGCACTAGTCTGTCCAAGGAGCTGAGAAGCTGAGCTGGGGATGTAACCTGTATAGCAGCAAGGTCAATGGCTCTTCCATCTCCTCACTGGTCAACTTCCAATCAACTACTCCAACACTTCAACACACTAACATCACTGCAGAAGGGCATGAACTGCTCAAGGTCACATAGTCAGTACATGGCCAAGTGCACATCAAATCTAGCTTCCTGACTCACCTCTGAAGTCATGCTGGTTTTTATTTTATGGTTGCATTGCGTTATTAGGACAAATGTAACATCCTTGCTAAGCATACTTCCACTCTTTATGCAATGACTTGCATTGGTCAAAAACTCAGATCTCGGCCTGACCCGGCACATGGAAATGTGAAGTGAGTTCTATTTTGACAGAATCATGATATATATGTATCTTAGAATCACTCGAGCCTTCATGGTTATATCTTGCTCTCATTAAGGAGGGTTTTGCATCCCCTGACCAGTCGGAGAAACAGGGTGGGGGGAGGGAATCAGTCTTGTGAGGAAGAGAAAATACCATTCATATTAGGGGCAGTCCAAGAACATAATGGAATTCAAGCTTGCTGGAGAAAGGCGCATTGATAGGCCACCGATATAACAGGAGCCGTCCTAAAATGTCTTTTTATCCTTGTGACTTTATTTTTCTCTTTCTCAGGAGGAATTTCTAGTCATTCATTTCTTCTAAAGTGACATTCCTCTTTTAAAACTATTTCTTGGCTTTTATAATAAAAGAGATACAAACAAAAGAGTAGTTAACAAAGAGAAAGTTGAGCTTAAAAACTTATTAAAAGGTCCTTCTTTCTGAGGAAGTCCCGTGCCCCCTGCCCTCCAGCTACCTGTTAAGCAGTACAATAAGCTGGAAGCTCTGCTTTAATTAAAGTCACTAGCTGCCTCTGCTTTAATTAAATCACTAGCTGCAGTGGTGACTCTTGCCTGCTTCTCTGTTGTTTTTAAGGTTTGGATGCCCTTTATAGTGTAAATGCTCTTAATGTATAGATATTAAACAGGAAAGCCATAGGAGCAGCAGCAGCAGCAGCGAGAGATTTCTCTAGAAGCAAGCTGGAAGTTGCTCAGATGTTGGCCAGAACATTGGCATTTGCCACCCCCTCCACTTCTCTCTCTCCATGAATATCCCATAACGTGAATCTCTTGGCACCACCTCAGGTGAGGCTGGGCCTCTGTAGGTCCCTCTGCTGGCAAGGAGGCAGGTGGAAACGGGAACCACTGTCCAGAAGGCGGCGTGCGGCAGGAAGGCATCTTGTTCTGCAGTTCACTGCTTGCTCTCCCCTTCCCATAAATTACTCAAAGAGCAGTCCCATTTTCACTGTGTTCCTGTTAAAAACACCAAAGTGTTCCATCGGTCAGAATGACAGGTTTACAGAAGAGGCGCCTGCCGCTGACTGAGGGTCTGAATTCGGTTGCAGAGAGAGCAGGCTGAGCAGCTGTTTCCTAGTGAGTCAGAGGCAGACACAGCAGTAGGATCTCCTTTTCCTGACAGTTCACGCTGACTTCAGCTCCCATTTCCTGAATAAACTGCCCCTACTCCTTTACTAGTAGTGGACTCTTTGAGCTCTGCCACTAAGGTATCTTTTAAAAGAGCTAATTAGCATTATTCTTTTTCTTCTTCTGTGCAGTGCAAAAGATATGAAGCATCGTCTAGGTTTCCTGCTGCAGAAGTCTGATTCCTGTGAACATAATTCTTCCCACAGCAAGAAGGACAAAGTGGTAGTTTGTCAGAGGTAAGAGAAAAGGCCTCTGTGGAGACCCAATGAGCATTAACTATTTAATGTCAGGATGTTCTATGAGGAGAAAAGGAAGTTGTGTTCTTAATTAAACCAGATTTGGATCAAGGTGGCATCCATTTTCATGAAGACAGTACTTTCATGTGAAATGTCCATGCATTAATGGAAAGACTGCCTTAATCAACAACAGGTCTCATCATAGGGATGGGACAGGAAATATCTGCATGTTTTCAGGACTTAAATTTCTTGCCCTGAGTTTGTATCATGGCATTCAAGTTATTCTTTCTCTCTATAATGTCTCTAGGGTGAGCCAAGAGGAAGTCAAAAAATGGGCTGAATCACTGGAAAACCTGATCAGCCATGAATGTAAGTCTGACGGCTTTCTTCCCCACTAGGATGAGGACAAAAGCTCTCTAGATAGACAAATTATCTCATACTATATTTGATCTAATAGGAAATGCAGACACAGTTGGGTTTCTTCTGACTTCCAAACTCAGGAGAACCAGTCTGCTCTTTACCATGCCCTCAAGCTTTGTGATAGACAATGGGATGTTCATACAGAAACCATGTGGAAAACCATCTCTCTCACCACATGGGAAAAAGGTAGAGGGGAAAAGTTCCAAATATAGAGACTTCTTATGGAATCAGCTTTAGTTTCTCTCTCTCAAACTTACTTTGGCAATTGGTGGCTGCAAGGGTGTTTCAGAAACACTGAGACTTCAAACCTTGAGCAAGAAGCACTAGTTAGGACTGGGATCCAATAGATGTCAAACAGATTAGGGTCACCTGACCCCAAGTGGCCCCCAGAAAGTGGGGAGAAAGGAGTTGTTTGACCCCATGCTTTATTCTCTCAAGCACTTGGCTTTCTCTGAAATACACTGTCCCAAGAGGCCTGCTGGTGTGATGATTATGGTGGATCTTTCTCTTCCATCACAGGTGGGCTGGCAGCTTTCAAAGCTTTCCTGAAGTCTGAATACAGTGAGGAGAACATCGATTTCTGGATTAGCTGCGAAGAGTACAAGAAAATCAAATCACCCTCTAAACTAAGTCCCAAGGCCAAAAAGATCTATAATGAATTCATCTCAGTCCAGGCAACCAAGGAGGTAGGTCTTCATGGCAGAGAGCTCTCTGGATCTTAGTGAAATTTCCTGCAAGTGGTCTTCAGTGGTGTGGATCTTTAGATCACCTGAGTTAAAGGAAAAAATCTGACAATGGAGGAGGTCATTATAATCTCCATAATCCCAAATCAATCAGTCAAGAAACTTTCATCCAGATGACTTAGATGATCTCCCTTAATGAGTTATTTGATAAATCTTCCCGTTTGTGAGAAAGAACAAATATATTGCCTTGCCCACCTAGAAGCAGAATAGCTTTTTACACTCCCTCGCATGAACCAGGGTTGAGCTAACTCTTCTTCTTTTCATTTCTGGGGTATGGAGGGTGCACACAGATTGCTCACCACAAAGCACGCGGCCTCCCATCCTCAACAGGGCAATGTGTCTGATACATCTTGGCCTTTGCCCTGCAGGTAAACCTGGATTCCTGCACCAGGGAGGAGACAAGCCGGAACATGCTAGAGCCCACGATAACCTGCTTTGATGAGGCCCAGAAGAGGATTTTCAACCTGATGGAAAAGGATTCATACCGCCGCTTCCTCAAGTCTCGATTCTATCTTGACCTGGCCAACTCTTCCAGCGCTGGGTCAGAGAAGCAGAAAGGAGCCAAGAGTTCTGCAGACTGTCCTTCCCTGGTCCCCCAGTGCGCCTGATTCTCAGAGGGTGCTGGAGGCCTGAGATGCTAAGACTCTATGCCTGGAAAACCTGAGGCCAAATATTGATCTGTATTAAGCTCCAGGGCTTTATCCACATTGTAGCTTAGTGTTCATGCTGCCTGCCATGTATGAGTCTCTCCTGTGTAAGAAGTAGATCGAGTTTTGGTGTTTGGTTTCCATCAGGGCAGGACCTCCTTCCAGTCCAACTTTCCCAGAATTCCTTTAGGGTGCCACGTGAGCAAGTATCCAAAGAATGGTTTTGGAGGGGTGGCTTTCCAAAGACTGTTGCAGTTCTCTTCTCCCAATGGTTTGACCTCAGGTTGGTTGGTTGGTACATTTCATGTGACATCCACAAGCACATGTATTCTGTTGGCACTTTCTCTAATCTCTAGATGTTAAGATATGGTTGATCTATTATGTGTACCTATGTGTGTGTGTAAATACATGTATACATGTATACATGTATTTACACACACACATAGGTACACATTCTATGTATATGTGTCTATATGTATATATACATATATATTTCTGCAAGAATAGATAGGAAAGACCCTAGGTGCTCATCACTGGAGTGTGTGTACATACCTACATGCATGTACTGATCCCTGGTCTTTCATCCTGCAATCAAACAGGCAAATAGAACCAGTTGCCATGCAGGCCAAGAGAAAATTGCTAATCTATGGAAAGTTGATTCTGTAAACTCCACAGGTCTTGTTGGAGATGCATTTGAGGGACTCCATGCATAGTTCAACCACCAACAGCCTCCACATTGAACAGTATTCTAAGGAGCCAATATCATAAAGAATCTTCTGCCTGGCTGACACAGTTCTGTCTTGAGCTGGTTATTACTGTTGGCACTTTTCAGTCCTGAAGCTGCTGGCCTCCCCTTCTCTGCCCGAGTGCTTGGTATGGGGTTATCAGCAGCCGGGCTGGTACGGGAGTCAGGAGAGAAGATGCTTGAGCTGAATGAAGACAGGGAGGTAGGGCCTCGCCAGCTCTACCTGTTGTAAGATGATGGCTGAGTTGAGGGCATGGAACTTCAAAGTTAATAGTCTTATCCTTCCTCTTTTCTCTTCTTGTGATCAAGGTGCTCTCCTCATTTTGTTTTTTCCTGAGGACTTCAGCCATCAGTTGAGGCTCCTTACCTCACTGCAGGTTTGGTTGGTTGTTTCCCTATAACGGCTCCAGGCTATATACCTCCCCTTATGAACCAGCAGGGTGGGAAGGATTGTATTTTATAAAGGACAAACATGTTTTTACAAACCGAAAAGCCCTCACAAGTTTCTCTTTTGAAAGTAGGAGCTTGTTCATTCCACACCAGACTTCGGGGCTGCACATATCTCTTTCCAGGCTCTGAGACTAAATGAGAGAGGAAAGAAGGGAAAAAAAAAAAAAAGAAAGAACAGAAAAATAAGATACCAATTGTTAGAACTACTGTTTGGAACTTTTCAAGGCACATGAAATACTTGAAAATTTCTCATTTATGTTATTTATGATTTATGATGTTTTCTACAATGTTTTTATTATTGTATTGTTTTATAAATGGAGGTGCAGGATATCACCTGAATTATTAATGAATGGCCAGGAAGTAATTTTCTTTTCATTCTTCTAAAACTACAGCCTTTGAAGTGCACACACACACACACACACACACACACACACTCACGCATGCCAATTGCACCGATTTCTTCAGCATAAATTACATGCGTGAGCACCTTGTGGCTTTTAAGCCAACAGACTGGGTTGCAGAATGAAAACACCAGAGTGTATCTATACAAATATCACTGTATTAAGGATGTAGGTTTTCTCTGTTGTGCCCTTCTTGTCTTTCTGGCAGTCTTACTCCATATTCCCAGAGTTCTTCCTCAACGTCCTTTTTATTATACCTGGTTCTACAGTTTTGTCTCTAGTTGACTCCAGGATCCAAAATTGTAACTCTATTGATCTTGCCCTATTATAACTGTCATGACTTTCAGATTGTACCTGTGCTCATGAGCTGCTGTCTTACAAAGAGGTCCAGAAGGTCATTCCGAATGAGAAGTAAATTATTTTATGTAATACAATTTTCAAGTGTGTTTTTCAATTGTATTCTCCCCTTATTTTACGACTATCTGACATGCTGAGCTTACCTGCTCATGATCTGTGGGCAGAGTATTCCTTCCCTTTGCATGCCTGCTTTTATCATGTGCTTGAAAGGCCTCAAAGCTGATGCTTCCAGTGAAACACATGCATCTTAATAATAAGGGTAAATAAATGCTTCATATGAAACTCTCTGCTTGTAAACACATTAATGATCCACAAAGTGTGTGATGAGAAACAGCAGTGTGTAGGGCGATAACAGAATATGGCTCATGTCCAGTCTCCGAACTGTCCCATGCCAAATCTGGAGAAGGAAGCAGAAAACAAATGTCATATATTCTTCTGTTCCTGCCACTGCTCTGACTCCCTCTCATCACAAAGTCGAGGCAGTCTTGGCTCCAGAGACTTTGCTCAGCAGACTTGGTGATGAACTTGCAGGTCCTCAGTCGAGACTAAGAATGGTTGAAAGAGAATTCGCCTTTCAGAGTTGTCCTTCTCTTACTTCCAAGTATCTGTCTGATAGAGAAGGCAGGAACAGAGGAGACTCAGAAGGTGGATGGGAGCTGTAGATACCTGAGGGACAGATTCCTGCCCAAACTGCTTAAAATCCTTCTCCTCCACCCCTTACAGATTCTGTCCCCTAGAAAAAAGGTATAGAATATTCCCATTCATGGATAAAGAAAATGTGGTGTATATATATATATATATATATATATATATATATATATATATATAATGGAATACTATGCAGCCATCAAAAGACATGAAATCTTGCCATTTGCGACGACGTGGATGGAACTAGAGGGTATTATGCTTAGTGAAATAAGTCAATCGGAGAAGGACAACTATCATATGATCTCCCTGATATGAGAAAGTGGAGATGCAACGTGGGAGGTTTGGGGGGGTAGGAAAAGAATAAATGAAACAAGATGGGATCGGAAGGGAGACAACCCATAAGAGGCTCTTAATCTCACAAAACAAACTGAGGATTGTTGGGGGGAGGGGGTTTGGAGAGGGGGATGGGTTATGGACATTGGGGAGGGTATGTGCTATGGTGAGTGCTGTGAAGTGTGTAAACCTGGTGATTCACAGACCTGTACCCGTGGGGCTAATAATACATTATATGTTTATAAAAAAAATTAAAAAAAATTAAAAAAAATAATATTCCCATTCATAGTCATGGATACAAGGTCTGTTAAGCCACGAGACCCCCATTTCCTGAATTCTACCTTTCCCATTGCAAGAGTCAGCTTACAGGGTATTAAGAACCACAGATTTCAAGCTATTTTGCGGAAAAGATCCTTTCAGGGACCTGATGAAAATTAGGGACCATCTCCGAGAAAAATACACAAAGGGATCCAAGTTCCTCAGAAATATTTAAAAGGAAGTTTTACAATCGACCCTCCAGCCCTTGCAGAACACACAGGGCTGTCCTTCCCCTCTCCCATGTGGGTGTGCCAGATTACCTGCGAGTGTGTGGTCGCTGCCGCCTTTATATAGGACCATCTTCCAAGTATAGACAGAGGAATTCAAGTCACTGCTATTAGCAACTCTGAGCAGTATGCTTATCTCCAATCTCTATTTGCCAATCCTTTCTTCTTGATGGTCAGCCATGAAATAAATAACACATATGTGCAAACTCTTTCTGACTGTGATCAAGGACCATGTTTTGAAAAACACTCTTTATTGCTTGTTATATGTCAGATATTGTCCTAAGCAGTGCATACAAGAAATAAATTTAATTCTCATACCAACCCTGAGATACAGATGCCAGTCATGGGCATGGCCTCTGCAAAACATCTCCTGATTTTCATAGGTGAGGAAACTGAGGTACAGAGAAATTAAGAAAGACCTTGTCAAGGTCAAGCTGCCATCAAGGAGCAAAGCTGGAATTTGAACTGAGTCATCCCTCCTCAGAGGATGGCAGAGACTTGAGCATTTACCAAGTACACACACACAAACAGATGGGGAGGAGAACATCACTTTCAAAAACAGTGTGGAGATTCCTCAAGAAATTAAAAATAGAGCTTCCCTATGACCCTGCAATTGCACTACTGGGTATTTACCCCAAAGATACAGATGTAGTGAAAAGAAGGGCCATCTGTACCCCAATGTTCATAGAAGCAATGGCTACGGTCGCCAAACTGTGGAAAGAACCAAGATGCCCTTCAACGGACGAATGGATAAGGAAGATGTGGTCCATATATACTATAGAGTATTATGCCTCCATCAGAAAGGATGAATACACAACTTTTTTTTTTTTAAATACCCAACTTTTGTATCAACATGGGCAGGACTAGAAGAGATTATGCTGAGTGAAATAAGTCAAGCAGAGAGAGTCTATTATCATATGGTTTCACTTATTTGTGGAGCATAAGAAATAACATGGAGGACATAGGGAGATGGAGAAGAGAAGGGAGTTAGAAACTGGAGGGGGAGATGATCCATGAGAGACAATGAACTCTGAAAAACAGCCTGAAGGTTTTGGAGGGGCAGAGGTTGGGAGGTTGGGTGATCCTGGTGGTTGGTATTATGGAGGGCACATATTGCATGGAGTACTGGATGTGGTGCATAAACAACAAATCCTGGAAATTAAAAAATTAATAGAAATAGAAATAGAAATTAAAAAATAAATAAAAATTTTAAAAAATCACTTTCAAACCTATATTGTCAGGAATAGAGTTGAATGCATTTCCATCTTTCTCTTCTCCTTCCATGGCAACCATGGAGATTATATGTTTCAGATTGTGTAGCAGCGAGATGAAGGACCCCTTGACTCATTTCAGAATATCAACTGAGTGAGGAATAAACCATTGCTGATTTGAGTCATCTGTTTACAAGACTGTTTGTTACTGTAGCAGAGCATTTCCTAACCTGAGAAATGCAGAAATTATGTTCTTCATTCAACTATGTGGTTGTCATTTTATTGTGTGGGGGCAGGCACAAGGGTATGGATGAGGGAACTCCTTTACATTATAACAATTTGCAAACAAAACTTGACTTTGTAGAGACTCCATGACCCGTGATGTGCCAGGCTGTGTCCCAGCACTCCAAGTTAATAATGCTTAGATGTTCAGAATTAGAAATGAGATGACAGAAGGAGGAAAGAAGAAAGAAAAATAAAAAAGAGCCATTCTCAGGGAAAACTCACTATCCATCAGCCTAGGCCCAACACGTGGACCAAATAAAAAAAAAAAAAAAAAAAAAAAGAAACAGCTGAGCAAGCCAGCCAGATAAATTGGCTCATGTAACTGCCAAGACTGAAAAGCATAGTGAAAAAACAAAAGGGTTCCATTCACTGAATCAGCTACTGAATTCAACACATGAGTTTGCTTAGGCCACTGAACTGCATGATAGCCACTAAATT